AAATAAATAAATAACTTCCAAGCTCTGTTAAAAGTAATTAAAACCAGTGGTAAAATCAAGCAGAGTCAGAATAGGCTTGATTAAAAAGAAAAGTCTTCAAGTCTTTTTTAAAGTCAGCCAATGATTGCGGTGCTCTCAGGTAGTTAGGGAGGGAGTTCCAGAGGTGGGGGGCAGCCACGYAGAATGCCCCATCTTTAATCTTGCAATATCATGAGACAGCACGTAACATTATTTCCAAGATTTGACCAAAAAGGCATATTAGATAGCAGACGATAYGCATTCTTTTAAGGAATGCTAAACCATACATTTTAATTGCTRTCCTCGCATATCAAATAACTTTTCAACAAGCACACATTTAAAAAGCCTGAAAAGTGTTATTTTTTCATGAAAAGCTCTTGTGACAAAAGTCTCTAGAACAGATCCCCCGCTAAAACTGTAACTCATGCAAATAGCATTCTCCATAATTGGATTTGAATGCCTCCCTGCTGCCAAATGTTATATGTGCATACATAAACCCATATTTTCCAGCCCACAAACCCYGTGAAAGCAAGTGAGCCACTAACGTGGTGCAGGGAATGTGAGCTTGGCTGCTCTGTAAACCCTGTTTGTTCTGCTCTGGAGGGCTTGTGTGGTTTTTGGTCTCTGTCGGCCCACCGGTCCTGCGCCGCCGTGGGGGCAGCTGCAGAGAAATGGCTTGCAGGCCCCCCATGAGGCGACGCCCGGCTGCGTGAGCACAGCTGGCACCACAACATCTGGTAAGATTCATCAGCAAAGCACTCACCCCCCGAGTTTCCCTCGCTCTTGTTTGTGTAGTTCAGTCGGTCGGTCTCGTGAGCCGCTTCTGAGATTTATCACTCTGATGCCATCACACCTGTCTTCATGGTTTCCTCTCAGGCCCTCACTCTTGTTTTCTACTCACAGATCCCTCATAAACAAGTTTCTACCCTCGTTTGTTTGGCATCCCATAAACATTTTTTTTGACTTCCTAAATAAGCCCTCGTAAAGTTTTCATCCACATAAAAACTTATTTTAAACTCTAAAAAGTTGACGGGAACTTCAGACGGATCTTGGGAACTGTGGGCCCACTCCCTCATGCGGTGCAGGGAAACAGACACATCGGCCAACAAAAACACGGAGAGATTGTTTTGAGATAAATGCCTTAGAAGCGGGGGGGTGGGCTTGGCTAGACAAAAACTGCACCTGCCCTGTTGGAATCCACAGCTTGCGCATGAATCGCAGCACGCAGGAAGAAAATGACAGGGGTGCCATCGCTGCTTTACGAAGAAACACATGAATATCACAGAGACGGTGCTTTGAACTGTGGTAATTCAGAACTGGAAATAAATCAGAGAAAACTGAGACCCACTGATGACATTTTTGCCAATTTGGATCTAAAACGTTACATTTATAAATAAAATCTAAGCAAGCAGATTAAGAAAGCGGAAGAGGAATATGCTAAAGTTTCATGGTTTTCTCTTCCAGCTTAGAAATGTTAAGATAGCTGAGAGGCGTGAAAACAAAATGATATAATTTGATCTTTTTGTTTCAGACACACAAATTTGGATATATTATAAAATCCAGCCAACCTGTTGTGAACTGTCCCTTCATCTTCTGAAAAACGGGGTCCTGGGCAGTGGCCTGGGCGCGGCGGGCCAGCGACTCAGAGGCGGCGCTGGAGAACATGGTGGAAACATTGGAAACGTTTTCTAAGCCCACACCGAACGTGCTGACCAGCTTCTTGACAAAGTTGAGCGTGTGTGGGGTGATCTTGGCATCCGACACGGCGCCACTCTTCTCAAATGCCACCGAGTAGCATTTAGCCAGACCTTGTTGGAGCTGCCTCAAGACCTGCAGGGAATATTGGATTAAAAGAAAAAAAAAATCATAGATAAAATGATAAAGTCAAACAGCAGACAAACATGTTTCGGTAACATGAACAGACTTCTTCAGGAAAGATGATGAAAAACCTCAATTCATCCACATTAAAGGAAAAAGTGAAGCCATGAAGATAGCAACAATGCAGCATGCTGAACTCCCTGCATGCCCAGTGGAACGAAACGCAGCCTACAGAAGCTGCCGCCACATCATGAAAGGTAATCACGCAAACACAAACACCAACAAACTTCCGGCCCTAAATCCCCTGTCCCATCCTACACGCTCACTGCACCCATCCATCACTTGTCGTACTCTTTCTTCCTCCTGCCTCTCCTTTCTGCAGACAATTTTTTTCTTTTTTAAATCGCAGATTAGCTTCTGTGAGTGGATGCTGCCGAGCTCGGCTAAAGCTATTCGCAAATTTCTTTTTGGAGGATTGTCTCGGGCCCAAATCCCAGACTGGCAAACGCAATCAGCTTAGAGGAAAAACATGCTATTTGGGGGAATGAAATGTTTCTATAAAATCTAAATAAAATAAAATAAAAAAACCTGCAAACCCACATGGAAAAATTAGGGTTACATTTGCTACAGGCTTGTTACGTCATTTACATATAAACATTAAAAATGAAAGCATTTTATCTGTCATTTAAGCTTTTTATTGAAGATAACTTGTGAGAATAAACCCAAAGGACCTAACTTAGACATACACCACAGCAACACCTCTGTTGTTCTCACCTCTTCATGCCAGTTCTCTCTGAACCACACCATCTGGTCCACRATACCCTCCAGGGAGGAGAGCAGGGTGGGGTGTAACTCGCGCTGCATGTGCATGATCCGGCTGCAGCGCCACATCGGGGCGGTGGCGCGGATAGGTCCGGGGTCGGACGCACCCGAGTGAGGCTGGGCCCCCACAGAACTGGGCTGCTGCTGACCAGATGAGTCTAAAACACAAAGTGGAAAATGGAAAGCGCAGAGTAAATGAAAAGCAACACACAGAAACTAGTCCTGAGTGGRTAAACAGAAGGCAGACTCCTTCACTTGTTTCCTGAAGATGTTCACCTCTCATCATCTCATCGTTCTGATCATGGAAGGTGCCCTAAAGATCACAATTACTTTTAAACCTAGAGCTCCCCACCCATGATTAGAAGTGAAGAAGTGTATTGGATAAGAGGTGAAAATCTTTAAAAAAGTTGTCCCGATTTTAATGCCCTGGATGACTGAGAATCTAAAGGAAAAARAGAAAAGGTTAAAACATAATGGAAGTAAAAAAAATAACTCAAATAGTAATAACATTTGACAGATGCAAATGTCCTAAAGGGAAAATATTATTTTAAGAAATTACCACTTCTCAATAGCAAAACAGGTATCATAAAATATCTCCTATAGAGTTATTTGATGTTCCTCCTCCTTTGAATTCAAAGGAGGACATAATAAACATTCTTATTTTGTTTTCAATAGACGTAATCCTTGGGTTAAAAAAATCGCTCTAAACAAGATGTAATAACTTATTTGACAAAAACTTGGAAAAATRAAGAAGCAGTGTGTGAAAACCCCACTTTTTGTTTGTGCCCATGCTTTATTTTTATCARTATCTGTAAACATTTGTTTCTGCGCAGCTCTGTTTAAGACCTGGCACAACATCTCAAACAGGCTGAGGTCAGGACTTTAAATGGGCCATTTGGTTTGTTTCTTTTCCAGCTATTTTGATGTAGATCTGTCATAATGTTTGAGATCATTGTGTCTTTGCATGACCCAGTTTCATCTGAGCTTCATCTGTTAGACGGATAGCTTCACATTTGACTTTAGAATACTTTTTGTATACAAAAACTCTGTTGCCAACAGTACGGACTAACAGTTTCTTGGAGTGATGTGGATTTAAAAATGTGGGAACACCTCCTGACAGAGCTCAAACAGGACAATATGATCACACTGCTGCCTAATGCGCTCAAGGGAAGGAAGGATGACCTGCACAAGTGGCCATTGTTTATAAACAGAAGCGTTTTTAGCTACTGGTACTTCATTGATATGGTTGCTTCTGACAGTGAAACGATAAACAATCTGAAAAGCTCTGAAGCGTATCAGTACCTACACAATAATTTTTTTTTTTTTATTTACAGTTATCAGGCAAATCCCATTGAAATTGCTGATCTCTTTTGCAAGGGTAATAAGGCTGGTCATGTTTTGTTAAAAAGAGTGGGATACAATCTTATTAGCCTTATAGCAGTCATGGAGCCCTGCCAATTGAAGCTACTCTGACAGAATTTTTTGCCATTTGTTAGCCCTGGCCTAAGCCCTCTAAAACAATAAGGAAAACCTTGTACACTATCACAGTTATAATTTCAAATTTACTTTATTTGCCTTGGGGGTTCTTCTTCAAAATGTCTGTAGTGAAACTGCAGTGCCATAAACACTCGTTGTATGTTAATTGCGGAGAAAATGGCAATACCAAATACAAACAAAAGCCACAATGCTGTGAAATCATACCTGATATTCTCATCATACTTTTTACATCTTTCTGAGGATCCGGCATCTCTTCTTCGGTGGTTTGATGTACCCAAGCCACTAAGTAAGAAGCAGATTCTACCCCATCGGCCATTTGTAAACAAAGTGAAATAAGCAGAGATCCAGCGATTTGGTGGTCGCTTCAGGTGCAGATTTTCCAGCCACATTCTTTGTGATTCCTCATCTTTAGGTAGGCAATGGAAACTGTTTCGCTTTTCACATACACTTTTTGGTAGCACTTTATAATAACTATACCTTATTTGGACTCAATCACTTATAAATGGTTGGTTAACTCTGAAAACATCATTAATAGGATGATTAATTTATAAAGGCTAATTACTTCCAAAACCAACATACTCATTGTTTATTCATGCTTAATAACTCAGAATTAACTATTCTATATACTGTGCATATGTATAGAAATGCTCACATAAATGTACTTTCACACCATATGGTAGACATGCATTAATGGTTAGGGAATGTTTTAACTGACATTAATCCTGCAGTGCTTCAATAACTAAGGCAACTGTTAGTAGTTAGTCTTTCTGTTAACCCTTCTAAAGTGAAGACTGTGCTTTTTTGACACATTTGTTAATATAGAAAAAACACTGAAGGTTCACAAGTTCCTTTTCACCTGTGGAAATTAGAGCTGGTAAAAACGGTTCACTTTATGGAACCGGGTTCATTTGAGTCAATCACTAAAATAACTCGGTTCATTTGAGTCTGAGTCCTGCACTGCACCCTCCCAATTAAAAATGTGTGTGTGTGTGTGTGTGTGTGTGTGTGTGTGTGTGTGTGTGTG